GTAGGGAAGGGGGCTGGGGCAGAGCAGTGGTGACAAGCTATGTTCTGCTGCAGGGCCACACTGATGAGCTGTGGGGACTGTGTACACATCCCTCCCAGAACCGCTTCCTCACCTGTGGCCATGACCGGCAGCTCTGCCTGTGGGATGGGGAAGGCCATGCACTGGCCTGGAGCATGGACTTAAAGGTAGAGTCAGCTGCCCTCGGTCCACCCTGCTACGCCTGTTCTTATTCCTAACATTGCCTTTCCTTTTACATCTGGACAACCAGTTGTTACGGTTATAGGCTATTCAAATATAAATTCTGTACAGACTGGGGAAAGTGATGTTATGCTACCTGGGCACTGCTGCTGCCTCAGGCCTCAACTTGGTTCAGCAGCTAAATAGTTCATCTGTAGCACGGCTAAGTGGTTTGAGTGTCTTCCCTTACTGGGGTCCAAGAGACCTGTCTAGCCCAGATCTTCCATACCCCATCTTCTCTGGTTGCCTTGGAAGGATCCTTTGAAGTTACTAAGATGACAAGGTGTCCATCCAACTTCCCTTACTAGAAAGCCATCTTTTTTTTATTAAACTTAATTTTTTAAAAGATTTATTTACTTATTATGTATATAGTGTTCTGCCTGCATATATGCCGAATGCCAGGAGAGGGCACCAAATCTCATTATAGATGGTTGTGAGCCTCCATGTGGTTGCTGGGAATTGAACTCAGGACCTCTGGAAGAGCAGCCAGTGCTCCTAACCTTTGAACCATCTCTCCAGCCCCCTTACATTTTATTTTTTATTTATTTAATTTTTTTTCTCTTTTGAAACAGTGTTTCTCTGTATAGCTTTAGAGCCTGTCCTGGATCTCACTCTGTAGACCAGGCTGGCCTCGAACTCACAGAGATCCGCCTGGCTCTGCCTCCCGAGTGCTGGGATTAAAGGCGTGCGCCACCACCACCTGGTCTAAATTTTATTTTTAATTAGTGTTTGTATACATGTTTTGGGTGTGATCCAGGCCTTTTCCTCCCCCACTCCCGGGCCCCTGTCCTCTGCATGCTCACGTCTCTGTATTTTCCCTGGCACTTCCATCATGTGTGTTCTGCTGTCCTCCCATCCCTGTCCCTTGAAGCCCCTCCCCTGTCTCATGGGCCCCTTCAAAAGGCATTTTCCTGAATTTACCTTCTCTTTTCTCAGGAGACAGGTCTGTGTGCTGACTTCCACCCAAGTGGGGCAGTTGTGGTTGTAGGACTGAACACGGGGAGGTGAGAAAACACCAGATCTCCTAGGAAGAAAGGCAGGGGGCCTGGGAAGGGCTCTTGGTAACAGGGGAGGAACAAGAGGTGACCAAGGCTCACTTAAGTGTTGAACCCCACCTTTCGTATTTGGGTTTCTCTGTAGTCCAGGCCTTCCTCAGCTAGATTCTTGAATCTGTCATCCAGGATGGGGAAGCAGTGGGGCTGGGAGGAGTGGGTGTGGGTGACAAACAGGGAAGTGACAGGCTCACCGACTCCACAGAGATTTTGTGGTAGGCCTGGCCGGTAGTTTCTGACTTCTTTTCCAGGAGGCATCAGAAACCCTCCCTCAGCTTCTATCTGCCCTTAGCCTCTTCCCATCCTCCAGCTTAAGAGTGCAGTGGTGGCCTCTCTCCAGACATCACAGCCTTTCTGAGGCTCTCTGTCTCACGGAGCACCCTAACTCCCTGCTCAGGGTCTGCCTGGGGGTGGCCCCCGTCCTGCCCTCTCACTTCCCTCCTTTCTCCCCTTTCAGGTGGTTGGTTCTGGACACAGAGACCAGAGAGCTTGTGTCTGACGTCACTGACGGCAATGAACAACTCTCAGTCGTCCGGTACAGCCCAGGTGGGAGCCGCCCCCACCCTGACCCCCACCCTGCACTCGGCGCCTGCCCTGGCTCTTCTGTGTCTGAATAACTCTCTTTGTAGATGGGTTGTACCTGGCTATTGGTTCCCATGACAACATGATCTACATCTATAGCGTTTCCAGTTGTGGTACTAAGTCCAGCCGCTTTGGCAGATGTATGGTAAGGATGCTAGGGTAGAAGGTGGGATGTGTTAATTGTGCACAGAGACAGGGGTCTGGTGCATTAAGGGCTAGTCTGGGGATGGGAAATGGTAGCTGTCTTGTCAAATTCTTGACTCTTGTTCCCCAGGGGCACTCCAGTTTTATCACTCACCTTGACTGGTCCAAGGATGGGAATTTCATCATGTCCAATTCTGGGGACTATGAGATTCTTTACTGTGAGTGGCGGGGTGATGGGGATAATTGAAATGTGTTTTTGTTTTTGTTTGGTTTCTTTTTGTTTTGTATCAGGCTGGCCTGGAATTCTCTATGTGGCCCATGCTGCCTTTGTCACCCTCCTAGTTATGTCTTCTAAGTAATTACAGATGTGGGTGCTGATAGGAGGCTTCTAGTCAGGAGGGATGATGGTATTAGAGGAGCATCAAGCAGAGGGGCTGATATGAAGGTGCGATGGAGTTGGAATTATACACATAGGAGAGATCCTGTGACTAGGTAAAGTACAGTTTCACACAATGTCTTCTTTCCACAAGAACTTGAGGGAGTTGAAAAAAAAAATGGGCCAGGTTTGGTGGTACATTCCTTTAATCCCTGAACTTAGGAGGCAGAGGCAGGCAGATGGATCTCTATGAGTTCAAGGCTAGCCTGATCTACATAGTGAGTTCCAGGCTAGCTAAGGCGACTTAGCAAGACCGTCCCAAAAAAACAAAAACAACAACAACAACAACAAAAAAAACAAGCCAGGCGGTGATGGGGCACGCCTTTAACTCAGGAGGCAGAGCCAGGTGGATCTCTGTGAGTTTGAGGCCAGCCTGGTCTACAGAGCAAGATCCAGACAGGCACCAAAGCTATGCAGAGAAACCCTGTCTCGAATAACCCAAAAAAACCCCAAACCAAAGCAAAAAGCCCTGGCTATGGGGGCACACACCTTTAATCCCAGCACTCAGCAGTCAGATCTCTGAGTTTGAGGCCAGCCTGGTCTACAGTGTGAGTTCCAGGACAGCCAAGGCTACAAAAAGAAACCCTGACTCAAAAAACCAAAAAACAAAACAACCCCCCCCAAAATAACCCCCCAAAACAAAGGGAAAGGAACGATGCAGTAAGAAAAGGTTGTCTTAGTACAGTTTCCCAGGGCAAGTGTGGCGGGGCTCACTTATTTAGGAAGGAAAACTGATGGGAAACTGTTAGAACTTTATCCAGAGGATGAGGCAGGAGGTTGGGAGTTCCAGGTTTGTCTAGGCTAGACTCTCTCTCTTTTCAAGACAAGGTTTCCTCTATATTTTCCTGGCTGTCCTGGAACTTGCTTTGTAGACCAGGGTGGTCTGGAACTCAGAGATCTGTCTGCCTCTCGAGTGCTGGGATTAAAGGCATGTGCTACCATGCCAGACTTAGACAATCTTCTTTTTCTTTTCTTTTTTTCTTTCTTGTTTTTGAGACAGGGTTTCCGTGTAGCTTTGGAGCCTGTCCTGGCCTCGAACTCAAAGAGATTTCTTTTCTTTTGAGACAGGTGTGTGTGTGTGTGTGTGTATGTATGTATAGCCTTGGCGCTTCGCTATCCTAGAACTAGCTCTGTAAACCAGGCTCGAACTCACAGAGATCCACTGCCTCTGCTCCTGAGTGCTGGAATTAAAGGTGTATACCACCACCAAACGGCTGGGCTTAGACTGTCTTAAAGCCAAACCAAATCAAACAACTTCAGTGAGAACTCAGGAAGCACATAGTGAGGTTCATAATGGATGGTTGGCCACACCTGTGATCAGGTCACGTTCCCAACTGAGCTGGTTGGGGCAATTTCTACCTAGGGGACGTGGCTGGAGGCTGCAAACTACTAAGGAATCGCTATGAGAGCAGAGACCGGGAGTGGGCTACCTACACCTGTGTGCTTGGCTTCCACGTCTATGGTGAGCAGTGAAGCCAGCATGCAGAACCCTTTAGGAGGGCTGGGGAAAACAAGGTGGAACCAGTTCTGGGATCAGAATGCTGGGTGTGTGTCCTGTGTGGCAGGGTGGGCATCAGAGCGGCAAATCCAGGCCAAGAGATCCCTTTGGACCTCGGGACTGGGAAGGGTTGTCTGGAGTTCAGTGGCAGCCTGGAAACACTGAACACTGCAGCTCTAGGTTGTGGGGAAGAGGCTTGGCTGAGGCTACCTGTTTTGTTAGGTGTGTGGCCTGATGGCTCTGACGGGACAGACATCAACTCCCTTTGCCGCTCCCACAATGAACGTGTGGTGGCTGTGGCGGACGACTTCTGCAAAGTACACCTTTTTCAGTATCCGTGCGCTCGAGCCAAGGTGAGGCCTTAGGGAACCATTGGGTCCAGGTGGGTAGGCATGGGACCCTGCCACTGCTGCAACTGTACTTTTTTTCTGATTCAGGCGCCAAGTCGTATGTATTCAGGCCATGGCAGCCATGTGACTAGCGTCCGGTTCACGCACGACGACTCATACCTCGTCTCCTTAGGTGGCAAGGATGCCAGCATCTTTCAGTGGCGCGTGTTGGGCGCTGGGGGCTCTGGGCCCGCTCCTGCCACGCCTTCCAGAACTCCCTCTCTGTCCCCAGCCTCCTCCCTGGACGTGTGATCAATGCTGGATGGTCTTGTCTCTCTGGAACTGTGGCCTTGCCCCGCCCTGGCCAAAACCCCTAGGACCAAGGGCAGCCCTTTTTCTGGGTTGGCTTTTTCTTTTTTTGACTTCAGTACATTCACAATTGCGCATTTTCCCGTAGGGGCGAAGCGCCCCATTGCACACGCGATAACGACTCGCTGGCTGAGCCGGGCAACCCCAGCTCTGACTCTTTGCCTGGTGAGGGGCAATAAAATGGAAAAAAAAAAAGTCAATGCCTGATGCTTTTGTGGAGTGCGGCGGGTGCCTCAGGGGCCCAGTGGGATTGAGATGAAAGAAAAAAGTGCAGGGCGGGAAGGGAAAAAAGGGAGCTCGGACCAAATATGCAAATAATAGGCAAAACGGCTTGCAAATAACCCCAAGAAGCGCGAGAGCGCGCGCGCGCCTTTCAAGGCCACTGTCGGAGCTGCAGGGGCCCATAGTGCAAAGAGTTAAATCCGGCTCCCTACCGCCCTCGGGGGCGGGGTCGAGCTGCAACGGAAATAACCGAGCGCGGGGCCGCGGCTGAGCGAAAGGAGCCGAGTTCCTTCCGGAAGTGGCCGATCTGCGGGGTCTTGCTCTCCGACCTGAGCCGAGCGCTGGGCCTTGTTCTCCGTATCGGCCGAAGGTGTTCCGGAAGGAGGCGAACCCGGACGCGGGCAGGGCAAACCTTCCCAGCGGCTGGCACCACACGACGTCTGCTGGGACTCGGTGAGCACGCTAGGAGCCGGAATCTGACTAAGGTCAGGAAGGAACCGAGCTCGTTCCGGAAGAAGTCGAGCAGACCGGCGCCGGCCTGGGTGTCCCGGGCGTGAGGCTATAGCAGAGTCGTCGTCGTGCGAACAGTGATGAACCGCGACGGCTGAGCGAGCAGAGGTGCCGGCTGCGCGGGCCCCATCGACACTTCCGCGAAGCGTCAGCTCCGCGCTGGGGGCATCGTCTGGAGCCAAGCTTTGCCCCCGCGAGCCTCCCGGACCTCTTTGTGCGGCCGGAGGCGGCGGCGGGAACGGCCATGGCGGCTAACATGTACCGGGTGGGAGGTGAGTACTCCGGGCGGAAGAAGTTGGGGCCGGGATCAGGGAGACTCGGTGTCCGCAGGCGCGGGGGAGCCACATCTGGGGTCGTACGGGCCGCAGCGCCGACCGGAACCGGAACCGAGACCTATGGTTCCGCGGCGGCGACGCTACCGGGAGTCGAGTCTCCCACAGAAGCTTGCTTACAGCCGGAACAGTGCTGAGACCTGCGACTGGATCCCCGGGCGGGAAGTGGGCTTGGCTTGGAAGGGGCCCGAGTGTCGGCGGGACCAGCTGCTGGGGAGCCGTCGCGCAGGGGTTTTCTTTTCTTTGGCGGCTTGTGCGTTCACGAAGGTGGGACCTGAAGTGGAGTGAACAATTTACTCAATTCTCTGACACAGGGGTGCAACTCCAGTGCAGAGCTGTGTGGATGGACTCCAGGGAAATCCTGTTCTCATCTCTCTCTCTCTCTCTCTCTCTCTCTCTCTCTCTCTCTCTCTCTCTCTCTTGGATTTTTGGGACGGTTGATAGTTATTTTCCTTTTTTTCCCCTGAGAGAGGGTTTCTCTGTCTAGCCTGGCTGTCCTGGAATTCACTCTGTAGATCAGGCTGTCCTCGAACTCGAAGAGATCCGCCTGCCTCTGCCTCCTGAGTGCTGTTGACCACCACTGCCCAGCTAATCTTTTTTTTTTTCTGGAGATAGGGTTTCTCTGTGTAGTTTTGGTGCCTGCCCTGGATCTCGCTCTGTAGACCAGGTTGTCCTTGAACTCGCAGATTCTCCTGGCTCTGCCTCCCGAGTGCTGGGATTAAAGGCGTGCGCCACCGCCCGGCATAATACTTATTTTCTTAAGTCTTTCCTTTTCCACATCTCCACGTTATCTCTACCTAGCATTTTGTTTGTTTTTGGCCCACACAGATCTACTTTCTCTTCCGGGTGCTCTGGTTTTCTTCTCTGATCGCGTTTCTTCCCCACCCCCTTCTACAGATTACGTCTATTTTGAGAACTCCTCCAGCAATCCTTACCTGGTTAGACGGATTGAGGAGCTAAACAAGGTGAGTGGAGCAGAAGCTCCTCCCACTAAGGCGGTCTCTTGAGTTTGGAGTCTTTTAACAAGTGGCAGGGAGAATCTTACCTAGGTTTAGAGCCTATCCAGGTGAATATTCATTCATTGGATGTATGGAGGAAGGGTGCTGAGAGCTTAGTGGCTTTATATTATTTTCACATTTGGGGTCAAAGGAATTCTGTCTCTTTGTAATTTTTTTCTTTTAAATATACAGAATCTCTCTATTATGTAGCCTTGGCTGCCTGGAACTTGCTATGAAGACCAGGCTGACCTTAAACTCGTGGAGACCGTTTTTCTCATTGGTCCTGGAATTATCTTTGAATATAAATCTTCATTGCTAAGTTTTTGGTCTCTTCGACTTAGGTCCTTACAGAGATAGTGCCTGTTGTTAGTGCACTTCCACTTTCAAATGGCCATTTTTCATTGCCCTTTTTCTTTCTCCTTTAGACTGCAAATGGAAATGTGGAAGCAAAGGTTGTCTGTCTTTTCCGGCGAAGGGATATTTCTAGTAGCCTCAACAGCCTGGCTGACAGTAATGCTAGTGAGTGTCTTCATTTCTTACCCCTCTCCCCCTCCCCGGGATCTGAGGACTAGACATGTTCCTGCAGGTGTTTCCCCTGGTAACATGCCCAAGGCAGGGCGTGAGTTTGGGGGTGGGAAGTGCCTGGTCTGCAGAGGGAGGCCTGTTGTTACAAGTTGGGGCTGGAAGCAGGGTGGGGAGACCATGATAAGGAAAGCCAGAATGTGGCTTATGTGTGTTAGAGGAGAGATATTTAGATAGGGAATGAAAAGAGCTTTAGCGAATTGAGGCACATGGGGACATTTTGGGTACTTTGGGATAGTGGTTAGTGAATGATGGTCAAGGTGAAGAGGAAGATAATGTTTTGAGATGCCTGCATAATAGTGGGAGAGGCTTATGTTGTAGTCTAGAGGTGACGCCAGAACATTGATGGAGACGATAGGAAGCTAGAAGGCAGGAACGTTCTCTTGAACTTTTCTGTTTCCCTCTCTGTTCCATTTAGCATCTGCCGTACTTTTGCTCTGTCTGCGTTCTCTTTATGCTTTTCATTTTCTGATTTTCTTTTCATTTAGATTTAACTACTTTTCCCTTTTTCCCTAAATTTATTTTTTCAGGCCACAGTCATGAAAGGGTTAATGAGCTGGGCCTACCAAGTTTCCTGGCCCTTTAGGGTTTCCAGTTCCATCTGGCAGGGGCTGACCTTGGCTTTGTCCAATCAAAAGGGGTGGGGAGTGTGGTCCTCCTTGCCCTAGCCCTGGGTTTCCTAGAGCACACTAAGGAGAGGTGGAGCCCACTAGATAGAGACCCCCCCCCACTTGCTATCTTACACCCAGTTCTTCAGGGGAACAATGCACCAATGAACAAGTGCTGAAGTTTTCTATCCCCTCCCACTTTGTTTGGCATTTAGCCAGGCTTAACTGTGTCCACCAAGTTTTCAGTGCAAGCCGCTGCCTCTTGAGGAGGAAGGTCTTGGCACTGGTTTGCAAGGTACTTTTCTTGAAAGCCCCACAAACTATTATTAACCAAGTGGAAAGAGAAGGAGAGTTAGGTTGCATGTAATGTTTCAGACACAGCAAAGAGTCCTAGAATACGAAGAGCTGGTAAATAAACCCTGGGTGCTGTTCTTACATCTTAACTGGATTCTAGGACCTCAGGCTGGTTGAACAAGAATGTGACATACTGTATTATGACTATATTTGTACTTTATGAGTAGTGTCAGTATTGGCAGCTAGATTTGGGGTGCATTTCTGTGGCATCCTTATACAGTTCTCCCCTTGATGGAATTAAAGAGAGGAATGAGCATCCACACCAGGCATAAGGCCAAAAGGGAAAGCTGGTAGGTAAGGGTGAGATGCCCGAGGAAGGTGAGATATAATAGCTGAGGTAGGAGGATGTCCTTTACCTGGACTTCAGCCATCCCAAAGTACCCTTTCCAAATGAGCTCCTGAGTTTATTTCTTCCTCCTTAATATTCTAGGGGAATTTGAGGAAGAATCAAAGCAACCAGGGGTCTCGGAGCAGCAGAGACATCAGTTGAAGCACCGAGAGCTTTTTCTTTCTCGGCAGTTTGAATCGTTACCAGCCACCCACATAAGGTATAGGAGGATCAGGGTCCCTGTGGCCTCTGTGCCCTTATTTAGAAGATGGAGAGAAGGGGGTGGTGTATTAGAGGTGGTAGATAAGAGGGTATGTGTTGCTCATTCAGTACTTTCTGGCCTGTCTTAGGGGGAAGTGCAGTGTAACTCTGTTGAATGAGACAGATATCTTGAACCAGTACCTGGAAAAAGAGGTAAGGAGGTATTGTGAGAAGAGGGACGGGGAGGGGATGTTGCCCCCTAAACTTAGGACAAGCAAAGAGGTAAAGGGTTGATAGACCTCCCAGCTGGGGAGTCTGGATGTATCTCACTGCCCATGTGGATTCTGCCCACTAACTTTCTCTCTCCTCATTTTTAGGACTGCTTTTTTTACTCACTGGTGTTTGATCCTGTGCAGAAGACACTTCTAGCCGATCAAGGGGAGATCAGAGTTGGTTGCAAATTCCAAGCTGAGATTCCAGATCGCTTGGCAGAGGGTAAGCCACAGAATGGAAGTGCTTGAACATAACTTCCTGTGAATCTTTGCATGACCTGGGGGATCTGCAAAATCTGCTAGGTTTTCTGCTGTGACCCCGACAGAATGGGACTTAGGAACCGGAAAGAGACAAGTGGGCACAGCTGGGAGGGGAATTCTGAGGCCTGATGTGGCTGATAGAAGCTGATGGAGCTCCGTGAGTCTGAGGCCAGCCTGGTCCACAAAACGAGTTCCAGGACAGCTAAGGCTACACAGAGAAACCCTTTCTTGGGAAAACAACAACCAAAAAGAAAAAGGAACCCAAGCGGAGAAGAAGAGGAAGAGTTATTGTGAGTGACTAAGTTGTTTCCCTCCCTCTCCCTCCCTGTGACGCTATTGCTTGGTTCCTCAGGTGAATCGGATAATCGAAACCAACAGAAGATGGAGATGAAAGTCTGGGACCCAGACAACCCTCTCACAGACCGGCAGATTGATCAGTTTCTCGTGGTGGCCCGGTGAGGGTGGGTGGGTCAGGAAGATGGGCTGGGGAGGAATGAACCCAGTTCTGCGTCCCATCCATTTTCAAATGTGGGCTTTGTTTTAGGCCTGGGTGCTTTTTCTTTTTTCTCCTTAGTTCCTGAGCCTGTTTGAACTTTTTACTTCCCTTCTTGACTTCTCAATCTCTCCGCAGAGCTGTGGGAACCTTTGCAAGAGCCCTAGACTGCAGCAGCTCCATTCGGCAGCCGAGCTTGCACATGAGTGCAGCTGCTGCGTCCCGAGATATAACCCTGGTAAGCACAAGTTGCTGGGTAGTTGGGCGCATCGGGGCAGGAGAGGAGGGAGTCATGGAGAGAGTAGGGGTACTTAAAGATCAGCAAGTCATCAGCTTCGTTCTCTTGTTTTTGGTAGTTCCATGCCATGGACACATTACAAAGGAATGGCTATGACTTGGCCAAGGCCATGTCAACCCTGGTGCCACAGGGGGGCCCAGTGCTCTGTCGAGATGAGATGGAGGAGTGGTCTGCTTCTGAAGCCATGCTATTTGAAGAGGCTCTAGAGAAGTACGGGAAAGATTTCAATGATATCCGCCAGGACTTTGTAAGTGAATAGAACTAGAAAAAGAGAGTGAGAAGAGGGAGTCGGGACCTAGGGCCAGGTGCCATCTCATCCTTTGTTTGTGGTTCTTCTTAGCTACCCTGGAAATCACTTGCAAGCATAGTCCAGTTTTATTACATGTGGAAAACCACAGATCGGTATATTCAGCAGGTATGGATTAGGGCTGGGAGACTGGACCAGAGGCCACCTGCTTACCTCTCTGCCTTTTGGTTTGTTTGATTTCATCTGTACTGAGATGGTCTGAATTTCTGTTTTTTCCTTTTAACAGAAAAGATTGAAAGCTGCTGAAGCAGACAGCAAACTGAAACAGGTCTACATCCCCACCTAGTAAGTGTGCCAGGGAGGGGAGGGTGTGTACCTTCCTCTCCCAGTTTATGTCTTCCTTAGTGATTGGGGTGAGCAGAAGGCCGAAGCAAATTGTAGAAGCTGTAGCTCAGTGATAAGCATGGGCTTAGTATGCACAAGGTTCAATCCCCAGCATTCCAGAGAGAGTGAGGGGGGGGAGTAGAAAGAGAGAAGAGAGACCGATAGAAGTGAGTTATTTCCTTGACTAGCTTCTGTGTCCTCTTGTTTCCTTCGTTAGTACTAAGCCAAACCCTAACCAGATCATTTCCGTGGGTTCAAAACCTGGCATGAATGGGGCCGGATTCCAGAAAGGCCTGACTTGTGAGAGCTGCCACAGTGAGTTTCAAGGAGGGCAGGGATGCTGGGTTTGGGTGGCCTGTTTCCCTGGCCTAGGGATTTGAGGGGCTCAGGCGCATGTTTCCTGCCCACACATTGACCCTCCCTCTGTGTTCCTCTAGCCACACAGTCTGCCCAGTGGTATGCCTGGGGCCCACCTAACATGCAGTGCCGCCTTTGTGCTTCCTGCTGGATTTACTGGAAGAAGTATGGGGGACTGAAGACCCCAACCCAGCTTGAAGGGGCTGCTCGGGGCACCACAGTAAGACTCACTGGATGGGAGCTGGGTGTGGTGGCTGAGGCAGGTGGGTCTCTGAGTTTGAGGCCAGCCTAGTATGTATAGTAAGCTCCAGGTGAGCTGTCTCAACAAACAAATAGAAAAGAACCACTGCAAGTACAGGTAGGGGACAGAGAGAGTGGTGGGCATGCAGATGTGAGCTTTAGTTAGGCAAAGGTCAGAAAACCTGACTCCTTACATGGAGACAGGCAAATGGACAGGGCACTTGCTAAGGGTTGGGAAGCCAGGAAGGTTGGGTGGAGTGTCAGTAAAGAGATCAGGCAGAAACAGTTTGCTCTCTGCGGGAAATGGAGGCAAGAACTGCAGTGTTGACTTGCCATTTCTCTTTGTCCTATGTTGTCCCTCCAGGAGCCACACTCAAGAGGTCATTTATCCAGACCCGAAGCCCAGAGTCTCTCCCCCTATACAACCAGCGCTAACCGGGCCAAGTTGCTGGCTAAGAACAGGCAAACTTTCTTGCTCCAGACCACAAAGCTGACTCGTCTTGCCAGACGGATGTGCAGAGACCTGTTACAGCCAAGGAGGGCTGCCCGAAGACCCTATGCACCTATCAATGCCAATGCCATCAAGGCTGAGTGTACGGACTGGAGTGGTAGTACTAACCACATGGCTAATGAGTTCAGAGTTGCTCTGGTCAGATTCTGTTGTTTAATGACGTAGGGATAGTAGGCCACAGAGGGTGTTTGGTAGATAAGATTTAACTCTTGGCCGGGCGGTGGTGGCGCACGCCTTTAATCCCAGCACTCGGGAGGCAGAGGCAGGCGGATTTCTGTGAGTTCGAGGCCAGCCTGGTCTCCAAAGCGAGTACCAGGAAAGGCGCAAAGCTACACAGAGAAACCCTGTCTCGAAAAAAAAACCAAAAAAAAAAAAAAGATTTAACTCTTGACCCTAGAATAGTGAAAAGTGCCTTAGAAATTTTGATCTGCTATGTCTGCTAGTGCATGCCTAGACTATAAGACTGGGAGACTGAGACAGGATAGAACTACCTAGTTCCTATCAGACTGGTCTATGTAATGAGCTCCAGCCTGGATTACATAGTAGGTCTCTGTTTCAAGTAGGCTAGGTATTGTGATGCATGCCTGTAACCCAAGCACTGGGGAGGCAGAGTTAAGAGGATGATGGCAAGTTCTAGGCCAGTCAGGGCTACATAGCAAGACCATTTCAAAAAGCAAGAACAAAACTGCAGAATGCCCAGAAGCTTTCTTCTTTCTCCAGGTTCTATTCGACTTCCTAAGGCTGCCAAGACGCCACTGAAAATTCACCCTCTGGTGCGGCTGCCCTTGGCAACTATCGTCAAAGATCTGGGTATGGAATGGGAACCACTCGATTCAGGGTGGGTAGAAGGTGGAGAAGCAGTAGGGGTGCTGTCAGGCTGCCAGCCGTTGGACTATCCAAGAGCAGCCTTTTCTTCCCCTGAGTTTTCCTTCCCACTGAGAACAAACCATGAGTACGTGTGTGTATTTTTTTTTTTTTTTTTTGGTCTTGGTGGTGCTAGATCAAAACCCAGAACCTCATGTATTCTGGGCAAGTGGCTTACCATTGAGCTCCATTTCTGGCACAGTAATGCCTTTTCATAAGTATTTTGTGATCTAAAAACATACTCAGTGTCATTTTTGAAATATGGGTAGGTAGCTTGATAGGCCTTCTCCTCCATTACTACTCTTCAGGTGACCAAGGTAAACTGCTGGGCCAGGGTAGAGAGGGAAGAAAGAATGGTAAGGAAGCTACATAGGCAAGAGAAGGTATGAATGTTTTCTGTTTCATCTCCCCTGCCCCCACTGGTAGTGGCCCAGGCACCTCTGAAACCAAAAACACCTCGGGGCACCAAGACACCAATCAACAGAAACCAGCTGACACAGAACCGAGGCCTGGGGGGCATTATGGTGAAACGTTCCTATGAGACTGTGAGTTGACAATGGGTTGGAAAAGCTGAATGGGTGGGCTTTTGTTTCTGAGGGAGGCAGCGCTTTCATTATGTTGCCCTGTCTGTCCTTTTCCAGATGGCAGGGGCAGGGGTCCCCTTCTCTGCCAATGGAAGGCCTCTGGCCTCAGGGATTCGCTCAGGCTCACAGCCAGCAGCTAAGCGTCAGAAACTGAACCCCGCTGATGCTCCCAATCCGGTGGTGTTTGTGGCCACAAAAGATACCAGGTAGGGAGGGGGTCCACCATGGGCGGGACTGAGACTGACAGTCCAGGTGGGGGGCATTGGAAGTAGGGGTATATCTGAGAAAGATAGGAGCAGAAAAGATTGTGGGTGCCAGAACTGTAGAGTTCATTGTGGAGTCTTACCTCCCTGTCTCTGTCTTGCTCTTTTTGACCAGGGCTTTAAGGAAGGCTCTAACTCACCTGGAAATGCGCCGAGCTGCCCGAAGGCCCAACCTGCCCTTGAAGGTGAAGCCGACACTGCTGGGCGTTCGGCCCCCCGTCCCTCTGCCAGCACCCGCACATCCTGCCAGCACCAATGAGCCCATTGTTCTGGAGGATTGAGCATCTTAGGGGAGGGAGGTGGGATGAGAGGCAGAGGGGTGGGTGCTCAGGGCATGCAAACCTCAAGGAGTGAGGGAGGGTTAAAGCTGGTGTGTGTGTCCTCGGAGGGGTTGGACACCCTCCGTGTGACTGCCACTAACCCCTTCTTTGGGCTTCTCCATGCCTGTGGTGGAGGACAGCCTACAGGAACTTGCCTATGTGGGTACCTACCCTATTTGGGGGCTGGGACCCACACTTGGTTTGGACAGCTGGGGGGGAGGAGGGTTTTTTAATTTTTTAAAAATTTTACCTCCCTTTGTAAAAGGGGTGGAGGAGGGGGGAGTAAACAACTATCAGGTGGTGGTACCTGGCAGGGGGAGGGGGAGTACACTGCCACGTCTGTCTTTTTGTCTTTATTTTCTAATTGGGGGTTTCTCTTACTGTCCGGTGTCCGGACTTTCCTAATTAGAGTTTGAGGGCCCTAAGCTGGCATCAACCCCAGCCCATGCTCACTCTTTCTTCCCTCCCTTTCCCCCTCTGCCTTTTATATGCCAATTCTCAGAAATAAAGATCTTTTGTCTGTTTTTTTAACCTCGGATTCTGTAATTGGTTCTTATAGTGATGAATAAAAAGCTGTTTTCTTCAGCTCCTCAGGCTCAGCTGTTCTCTGCCACTGGTGTGTGTGTGTGTGTGTGTGTGTGTGTGTGTGTGTGTGTGTGTGTGTGTGTGTGTGTGTGTTGGGGTGTCTTTGAGAGGGAAAATAGAGGACAAAGGACAAAGAAGGATACAGATGGCACTTGTTCTAGGAACAGCTTTATGAGACATGCAGCCGGACTGTGAGGAGGTCTGTGCCAGCTCTCCTTGTGGGACTCGAGCTTCTGTTGGGGCTGGAGTATAAGCAGCATCTTGGTGTAGATTCATTCAGAGTTCTGTAATGGCTCTGAGTCTCCACAGAAGACTGAGAATGTTTTCCTGTTACCACTTTTACTCCCCCTCCCTTTTGGTGCTGAGGAATTGATCCCAGGGCCTGGTGCATGCTACTCAAGGGCTCTACTATTGAGCTACACCTATCCTCAGCCCTTCCTTCACTTTCATTCTAGGCATTCTAAGGAACACTAGCAGCCAGGGTCAGATGCATCTCACTAGCTGGGTGGTGTTAACACATGCCTTTAATTCCAGCATTTGGGAGGCAGAGGCAGGCAGATCTCTTTAAGTTCAAGGCCAATCTGGTCTACAGAGGAACTTCCAGGATAGCTAGAGCTACACAGAGAAGCCCTGTCTTGAAAACAAAAAGATGCATTCTACTGTAGTGGTTATGGGTGTGGTACTGCAGGACTTTACAGTTCAGGTTCAGTGGTGTATATATACAGACTGCTGCCTCAGGATTTGTACACCCAGTGTTAGCACCTGCCTCCACTGTTGAGTGTGCAGTATACTGTTGTTTGTTTGGTCTGCTTTTTTGGTTTGGCATTAAGGATCAGATACCTGAGCAGGGTCCAATAGGGGGACAGCTGGTAAGTTCAACCAATTCTTAAACACTTTAGTGACAGAAGGGCCCCATGACTCAGTCAAGGCCACAGACTGGTTTTCTGCCTAAGGTCTACTGCTCTGATAATCACAGGACAAGCTGCCGAGTCCACCTGATAGCCTTTCCATTTCATTGCGGTCCTTGTGCTCAGCTCACATATTCTTTCCTGTTTCCTGAACCTACAAGACTGATTCCTGTGCCTGACTGGGGATCTGCAGCACTTCCCATCCCACTACCTTGAATAAATGAGTTTATCTCTTACCACTGGTAGTCTTTTCTTCGTTGTACTACCTTGAAGTGGGCCTCGTGAATATACTTCATTCAGGCTACAACTGCGGAAGAAACTTGGACTTGGGATAGTAGCCATCTGCCGTTGCCTCATTGAGTCCAGGTGAAAGGGAGTAGAGGGGACGGGGACCAAGAGCGCTGAAAACACTTGTTCTGCAGAAGGATCCGGCTGTAGAGAAAGGAACTGACCTGAGGATGTGGGAGTCCCTGAGCTCCATAAGGCAAAGGATTGGAAACACCCACCCTCTGCTATTCTCATGGTGAAATAAAAGATTGAGGGTGCAGTTGTATGGTGAAGTGAAGGCACAGGTCACCTGCCACCGCTTGGCAAAGAAGGGGCTGTGCTGTCAAGAAACAAGCCTGCCTTTGTGGCTGCTTAATGAATATTCACGATTCTTCGGGCCAATAAGCGTTGTCGGTAGGCGGCTTTCCCTAAAACTGACTTAAAACAGGAACCCTCAACCTAGGGACAAGTTTTCTGGAGGAATACGCTGGCGCCGGGCGCAAACGTCACTTCCTCCACCCCTGGCGGAAGTGACTTCCCCGCACATTGTGATTTTTAGCTGTGAATTCTGGTGGTGGCTGGTGGCGGAAGAGGTTGTAGGCGGTCCGTCCCGGAGAGTCGCTATGGCGGCGGTGGATTCGGATGTCCTATCGCTGCCTCGTGGCCGCTTTCGCTGCTGCCTTTGCGACATTACTACAGCCAACCGTAAGCGGTGGCTAGTGAGGGAAGGGGGAGGTTGCAGGCTTTCCTTTTTAGGTGTTAGTGAAAGTTAGGGTTATCTAGGTTATAGTGTTTGCTGGCGCTAGGGTCATCCACCTCTATTTTCACTCAGTACGTCCCAGGGCATTGAAGAGTGGGGAAAGTCTCACCCGGTCTTCCTACTATGCAAAGTATCCATAGTGAAAGGTTCATTATTCCTTTTCAAACGTTTACTGGACATCTCTGCTTTGTGCCTGGTACTTTGATGGTCTCTGGAGTCGGGAAAGGGATTCAGGAACTCATAGCCTGGACTGAGACAGTTTCAGTCCGCCATGGATATGTTTACAGAGCTGAGGCATCACAGAGAAGGCAGTAATTCAATTGGAGACTCCCCAGTGGAGGATGAGTGAAAGAGCATGGCCTGAGTGCGTGCAGAAGGTGCCAGTGAGGAACAGGGTTTGGAAAGGTGGACTGAGTTATTCTGTGACACCGAAAGGGGTCAGATCCTACTTTTGATATCTGAAATGTGATTTCCCCTAAACAGGGTCTTCTGGTGGTCTTGCCTTGTCCACCAGAAGACCCTTGGCTTCCAATGGCATCAAGCAGCTGACTTATGATAATAATAATAGCTAATTTCCCACACTTACCACATACCAGATGGCCAGAGCTGTATGTGAATGATGCCTATGTGGTAGGCACTATCATTTCCATCATATATGAGAAACTGATACATTTGGAATGCCTACTATTTATCTCTTGAGAATTAGTCAGGAACCTAATTTATTTAGTTCTGCATATGGCCTTGGACGACTACTTATTAATTCCTCTACGGTGTGGAGTTTTTGCTCTGCTTAACGCATATCATTGGCTCAAGCACTGCCTGCACTGTAGCCCTTTCTCGTGGAAGTCACTTAGAGAATGCACTGTGTAGAAAAAAAAATCAAAGGATATCAAATGTGGAAGGAGCTACAACTCCGTCCAAATGTCACCCTTTGTCTGTCTCTAAAGGAGCAGGATTTCCATGTGTAGAGAGCAGAACAAGGGAATAGGCCTCCTTTATATGCTTATGTCTCACACTTGCCTCTGCAGGACCCAGCCTCGATGCCCACTTGAAAGGCCGGAAGCACCGGGATCTTGTACAACTACGAGCCACCAGAAAGGCCCAGGGACTTCGCAGTGTGTTTGTCAGTGGCTTTCCCAGGGATGTGGGTTCTGCTCAGCTTTCTGAGTATTTCCAGACATTTGGCCCTGTGGCCAATATTGTCATGGACAAGGACAAGGTAGAGTGAGTGTCTTTGGGATTAATGGATCAGATGGGTGTGCCTCATATGAAAAGAGAGAAACCAGCAGCCTGTTTTCACAGCCTCCTAATGTGGCCTGTCCTTGGTAGACATTTTAGAACTCAGAATAGCTTAGTTTTGGGAGCTGCTGCCACCTCCTACACTCCCTGGATTTAATCCATTCACCAGAGTTAACTATGGGGGACTTGCTTATCAAACATTGCATCGTTTTGTTTGTTTTGAGACAGGATCTCATCATGTAATCCTAGGTTTTACCATGTAACTCTGACTGGCTGAGAGCTTGTTATGTAGACCAGGCTGGCCTTGAACTCACAGAGATCCACCTGCCTCTGCCTACCTAGTGCTGGAATTAAAGGCATGGCCAAGCCTCTTGCCCTATTCCCTCTTACCTACCACCCCCTCCGTTTTGGTTTTTCTTCCAGTTGTAGGGATTGAACATGGGGGTTTCTGAATATTAGGAAAGTGGCCTCTGTCTATCTCCAAACCATCCCCATATCCTTTATCAATCACCTCCTATCTGTGATTCATGCCTTGTCCTGGTGAGACATCTGTAATTGTTTATATATGATACGAAGTAAGGGTCCAGCATTCTTTTGCTTCTGACTCTCCAGTTGCCCCAGCAGCATTTCTCTATAAGCCCATTCTTTCCCCACTGATCTTATTATCCTGTTGAAAACTAGTTGACTAGATGTAGTGGTTTATTTGTTGGTATCAGTTCTTTTCTCTTCATCTAAATATATCTTTTTTTTTGTTGTTTTTTTTGTTTTTCAAGACGAATTTCTCTGTGCAGCTTTGCGCCTGTCCTGGAACTCACTTGGTAGCCCAGGCTGGCCTCGAACTCACAGAGATCCGCCTGGCTCTGCCTCCCGAGTGCTGGGATTAAAGGCGTGCGCCACCACCGCCCGGCATCATCTAAATATATCTTTATGCTGGCACTGCAGTCTTTATTACTATACAGAGTGCCTTTTTATAGGAACAGATGACGTAAAAGAACATGCACTTTTACCCACAAGCAGTCATGTTTGCCTTGCTTTTGCAAATGTTTTACCTTAAAAAAAAATCTCGGCCGGGCGGTGGTGGCGCACGCCTTTAATCCCAGCACTCGGGAGGCAGAGCCAGGCGGATCTCTGTGAGTTCGAGGCCAGCCTGGTCTCCAAAAGCGAGTTCCAGGAAAGGCGCAAAGCTACACAGAGAAACCCTGTCTCGAAAAACCAAAAAAAAAAAAAAAAAAAAAAAAAAATCTCAGTCATTAATATTCAGCTCTGTTCAGCTCACCCAAATCATAGCAGCCTAGCTGCCATATTATTGCTAATCCTAGTTGGTAAGTTCCTTGAAGACAGGATTTTTTAGAGTTTATGTATTTATATTAGCAGTAGCAGAGTTTTTAAAACATTTGTTATAGTTTGGTGCTGAGACTTGAATCCAAGACTTCATGCACACTAGACAACTTCTCTACCAATGAGCTGCATTCTGAACCCAACATGGGTTCTTTTAAAAATTTTATTATGTGTGCACATGCATGGTCCATGGTGCAAATGTGGGGTCAGAGGACAACTTTTAGGGGTTTGTCCTACTATGTATTCAGGGGATTGAACTCAGAAGGTCAGGTTTGGTGGCAAGCACTTTACCCCAACATGGATTCTCTTTTTTAAGGTTTATAAATGGGTATCTATGTAGTTATGTGCAAGAGCAGCAAGTGCTCTTAACTACTGAGCCGTTTCTCCAGAACTCCCCCTACAGACCCCCTGCCATGGATTCTTATTGTTAAAAGACTTAACTAGGAAAAAGACTTTTTTGTGTGTGGTTTTTTGAGACCGAGTCTCTCTATGTAACAGTCCTGGCTGTCTTGGAACTCAATTTGTAGACCAGGCTGGCCTTGAACTCACAGAGATCCACCTGCCTCTACCTCCTGAGTGCTGGGATTAAAGGCGTGGGCCACCACTGCCTGCCTTGGTTTTTGGGTTTTTGAGACTGAATCTCACATCATGCAGGCTGACCTCAAACATACTATGTAGCTGAGCTTGAACTCCTGATCTTCCTGCCTACTCCTCCCCTGTTAAAAAGATTTTATTTTTTTATTTTTTAGAGGCAGGGTCTCTCTCGATAGCCCTGGCTGTCTGTCCTGGAACTTGATAGGTAGACCAGCCTGGCCTCAAACTCACAGAAATCTGCCTACTCTAGCCTCTCAAGTGCTGGGATTAAAGGTGTGTGCCACTGCCTGGCTAAGATTTTTTTGTTTTAAGTTAATGTATGTATATGTTTATCTGTGTGTGGATTTGTGCACGAGTGCCTTTGACTCTAGGAAGGCATCTGATCCCCTGGAGCTGGAGTCACAGGCAACTGTGAACCCAACTCCTAACTACTGAGCCATCTTTCTAACCCCTTTAAATTTTTTTTATTGCATTTTAATTTTTTAAAAGACTTATTATGTGTATGAATTTTGCCTGCATGTTTGTGCCTGGTGCCCTTGGAGGTCAGAAGGCAATGTATTCCCTAGAACTGGAGTAACTGATAGTTGTGACCTGCTGTGGAGGTGCTGGGAGCCAAAGTCAGGTCCTTTGAAAAAGCATTACGTGCTCTTAACTTCTGAGCTATCACTCCAACCCCTTAACTACATTTTATGTATTTAGTGTGTCTGTGTGGTAGGGAGTGGGGAACATGTGTGGAACAGATGCATAAGTCAGAGAACAACTTTCAGTAGTCGTTTCTTCTTCTGCCCTGTGGGAGCCAGGGGGCTCAAATTCACATCATTAGATTAGGTGGCAAGTGCCTTTATTGCCTGAGCCATCTCCCCAGGCCTTACCTCTACCTTCTGAGTCTGGGATTATAGGCATGTACCACCAAGCATGGCTAGGTGGGTCTTATTTTAACCTCTGAAATCAAGTCATTGTGAAATATAGAAGACAATAGATGAGGTTTTCATTGACAACCAGGAATGAAAATGTATGGGATAAGAGTGACGATTACTCATCTAACTAAATATGTTCCCTTTTACAAAAACAGCAAGTAAATATTCCCAGTATATGGGTTGGTTCCCATTTCAAAGATTCTCCTCTACTGTTAAAACATGCTTGAATTCTTGATTGCCAAACCATGATCCTTGCTCTTGTGTGGTTTGCCAGGGGGTGTTTGCCATCGTGGAGATGGGTGATGTAAGTGCTCGGGAGGCTGTCTTATCACAGCCCAAGCACAGGCTGGGGGAACATGGACTGCGTGTTCGGCCGAGGGAGCAGAAGGAGTTCCAGAGCCCAGCCTCCAAGTCTCCCAAAGGAGTGGACTCAAATAGTCGACAGCTGGCCCAAGCACTGGCCGAGGCCCCAGATGTGGAGGCGCAGATGGTAAAGCTTGTGGAACTGAGGGAGTTGTCTGAGGCTGAGCGGCAGCTTCGGAATCTTGTTGTGGCGCTGATGCAGGAGGTCTTCACAGAGTTCTTCCCTGGTGAGTCCCCTGCTCTAAGTCTGAGCTCTCTCTGACGCCTCTGTTGGTCCACCTGCCCCTGTTTGAACCCTTAGCCCCCCGCAGCTGTAGGTGTTCCATTTGCTGCCTCTTCCATCTTTGCCCCCCAGTATGTTTGTTCTTGAACCTCTGCACCTCCCCACCTTTTTTACCCCTCTTTATGTGTGTGCACAAGAGACACACATGCTTATAGAGGTCACAGGGTAACTTTCAGGAGTTGGTTTCCTTCTTCCACCCCATGGGTCCTGGGGATTGAACTCAGGTTATCAGACCTGGTGGCAAGTGCCTTTACTTTCTGCGCCATCTTGCTGGCCCTCTACTGTCTTTTGATCTTTATTCTTTGGTACCTAGGCTGTGTGGTCCATCCTTTTGGCTCTTCTGTAAACAGCTTTGATGTTCATGGCTGTGATCTGGACCTCTTCTTGGATCTGGGTGATATGGAAGAGACACAGGTGAGTGAGCAGGAGAGCATGCAGTCATGGTGACTTTGGGCAAATGCTTTACCCAAACTTGCATGTTTTTTAGTTTCACGATTATAAAACATTCATAATAGTACTAATCCAGAATCTTACTATAATTGTGGAAATGTGGATATGGATGTGCATTAGATGGAATGAAAGTGAGTTGGCATGGGATAGATAACAGTTGTGACAGGAAGATAAAACATTTCAAAATTCTGTGTTACTGGATTTTGTTTATTGTGGTTTTTTGAGACAAGGTCTTACTATGTAGCCCTGGCTGGCCTGGAACTCACAGAGATCTGCCTTCCTCTGCCTTCCAAGTGCTAGGATTAAAGTCATTCAACACCGTGCTCACCCTTGTATGTGATCTTACTTGGAGAAAATATATAAAAAGATACACAGTAAGGTAATTTGGGGATTATCTTTTTGCTTATCTGTATAGAGGGGTAGTTGAGACTGTGTATCCCTTACTGGCCTGGAACGTGCTGTGTAGACCGTACTGTCCTTCTGCCTCTGCAGACATGCTGGGGTTGCAGGTGTGCGCCACTATGCCAGCCCTTGTGTTTCGTAATCCGTGACTTAGATTGTTTCTGCAATAGGAAAGTTGCTCTTTTGTTGTTTTCTTCTTTTTTCTTATGCACAGTTCTTTTTTAGAGCAGTTCTAGGTTCTTAGAAAAGTTGTGTAGAAATAGAATTCCTATAGACCTTCCTCTAGAGAGGGTGTGTTCTTTGTTGTGTTGGGGTTGAACCCAGGGCCTTTGCACACGCACATTATGAGTATTTTGTCTACATGTTTGTGTGCCACATGTATGCTTGATACTTCTGAAGTCACAAGAGGGCAACAGATCCCCCTTGAGTTACAGGGGGATATTAGCCACCATCTGGGTGCTAGGGACTGAAGCTGGTTCCTCTGCAAGAACAGCACTGTTACTGCTGAGCTGTCTTATTTTTGAGACAGGGTTTTAATGATGTAGTCCTGATTGTCCTGGTACTTACCATGTAGCTCAGGTTGGCCTCAACTGTAGATCTTTCTGCCTTACCCTACCAAGTGCTAGGATTATAGGCGTGTGGCACCACTTCTAGTTAGGATTGGTGGTTAGAAACGTGTTCTACCACATTGGCCTATAGTTCCACACTTTTTAATAAAATTGTTACTATTTTTGTTTTGTTTTTTGAGATAGTGTTTCTCTGTGTAACAGTCCAAACTGTCCTGGAACTTGCTTTGTAGACCAGGCTGGCCTCGAACTCACAGAGTTCTGCCTGCCTCTGCCTCCTACCTGGTAGGTCAAGGCATGCACCACCAACTGCCCGGCTGTAAAATTAATTTTTAAAAATTTCATGGATGTGTACTGTATTTACAGTTTCCTCCTCCTCCCACTGTTCCTATTTTCCCCTCAAATTCATAGCCTCTTTTTAATTATTGTTACATATGTGTAAATGGATAATTATATAAATACAACCTGCTGAATTCATTTGTGCAGCCACATTGTTGACATTTCATGGGTATAGTTCTCTGTCATATATGGAAGACACAATTGTCCTGGTCTTATGGCTTTTGCAGTCTTTCTTCCCTTTCTTTTTCAATGTTCCCTGAGCCTTAGGTGTAGAAGTTGTGTTATATGTTTATCTGGGCTAGGCACCCCTTGGTCAGTTGTCCTCTGCATTTTGACGAGTTGTGGCTTTCTGTAATGGTCTCTGTCTGCTGCAAGAAGCAGCTTCTCTGTTGAGGGTGAGAGCTGCACCTACCAGGCCTGGATTGGAGCAAAGGCTGTGTGGCCCGGGTGGGACCTGCATTGGATATGGCCTCATACTCTTTTTTAAAAAGTCTATAGCTGATTGTGGTGGTACACGCCTTTAATCCCAGCACTTGGGAGGCAGATCACTGAGTTCGAGGCCAGCCCGGTCTACAGAATGAGTTCTGGAACAGCCAGGACTACATAGAGAAACCCTGTCTCAAAAAATGACACACACACACACACACACACACACACACACAGTTTATTTTGTGTGTTTGGGGTGGGGTGGCATGTGGAAGTCAGAGAACAACTCTGGCCGTGGGCTTTTTCCTGTCCACTTTGGCGTGTTCATTAGTGTCTTTGTTTAGCTCACATTTGGGCAGTCATGTTGGTGAGACTTAGAGGTGTGGCTTCTAATGCAAACTCCCTGTTCTTCTGGCTCTTAATCTTCCATTCCTTCGTTCACAATGTTCCCCGGGCCTTAGATGCACGAGTGTTTTGTAGATGTATCCACTGGGACTGGGCTCCACAACTATGCATTTTGATTAGCTGTGGTTTCTGTAAATAGTGTCTACTGCAGAGAGAAGTTTCTCTGATGAAGGGTGAAGACTACACTTATCTGTGGGTGTAAGGACAGATGTTTAGATTATTGTTGGGACTGTATGATTGTAGACTCTCCTCCAATATCCATGACTTCACCAGCACCAAGTAGTTCATAGGTTTCCATTCCCAGCCATAGTCACCCTCTTGGCGAGCAGGTCTTACGTCCAATTCGAAAGCTGCTGGTTACCGCCAAGGGATGTGTGCCACTACAGCACCCTTAGGGTTATTGTGCTGTTATGGTTCAGAGGTGTCATAGCTGGGTAGGGCTGTTGGTTCCTCCCTCCTTTGGAAGCTTGCATGGTGCCTTCTGGTGCCATGAAAGCTAGTCTTCAGGGAGGGGACATTCAAGTCAGTTCCAGCTCAGGGGTCTCTGGGCCTTGTTTCTTTCTTTCTTTTTCTTTAAAGATTTATTTATTTATTATGTATCCAGTGTTCTGCCTGCACGCATCCCTGAAGGCCAGAAGAGGGCACCAGATTTCACTAGAGATGGTAGTGAGCCACCATGTGGTTGCTGGGAATTGAACTCAGAACCTTTGGAAGAGCAGCCAGTGCTCTTAACCTCTGAGCCATCTCTCCAGCCCCGGACCTTGTTTCTTAAGTGCCTGGTGTCTTCTGCAGTAGGCACTTACCTTCTGCTTTTGGGGGTGGAGGGCAACCAAGGGCAACAGCAATAGGCTATAATGTTTTGGGATTCTTTTGGACAGCTCTGGTTGTCAGGCTAATTTAAAGTATGACTCTAAATCCCAGCACTTGGGAGGTTGAGACAGGAGGGTTGTGAAAAGTTAAAGGCCATGGGGCTGGAAAGAAGCCTCAATGGTTAAGAGTACCGGCTGCTCTTCCAGAGGACCAGGATTGGAGTTCCAGCACAAACATGGTAGCTCATACTGTTTGTAACTCCAGTTCCAGGCATTGCATCCATGTGGTGCAGACATACATTCAGGTAAACCACCCAACACATAAAACAAAATAAAAAGAAGAAAGTTTAAGGTCAGCCTGAGCTATACAGTAAGATACCTTGTCTTTTTTTTATTTGTTTGAGACAGATTTCTCTGTATAACAACCCTGGCTGTCCTGGAACTCACTGTATAGACCAGGCTGGCCTTGAACTCACAGAGATCCACTGCCTCTGCCTCCTGAGTGCTGCGATCAAAGGCATGCACTACCATTGCCTGGCTTCTGTTGAGAATGAGTTATGTAAAGCTGCAGAGTAAAGCCTGTACATAGAGGACAGTGGAGGAGGAAGGGTATTCACTCCTTTTCCTCTCCGTCTACAGCCAGCCCCACAGACCCTCAAGGCTCCATCACCTCCATCCGTGGACTCAGCACTTACTTTTTCCCTGGATCCTCAAGCGCTGCCCTGTACCCCAGCTTCTCCTCTGGACTCACCGTCTCCAACTTCTCCCCAAGATTCTGAGGTCCTGGACTTGGAAACCACATCTTCTCTGGCACCCCAGACACCAGATTCTGCTTTGGGCTCTGACCCCGTCACCTCTCCCCAGTCACTGCCTCCAGTTTCACCACTGCAGGACGACAGGGGAGAGGAGAGACCAGGGAAGGCCCTAGAATTAGCAGAGACTTCACAGGACGAGAAGGAGGAGGCAGCGGCAGTGTTAGAGCTGGTGGGCTCTATCCTCCGGGGCTGTGTCCCTGGAGTTTACAGAGTCCAAACTGTGCCCTCTGCCCGGCGCCCTGTGGTCAAGTTCTGTCATCGGCCTTCAGGTCTGCATGGAGACATCTCCCTCAGTAACCGGTACTTTCTTGGTGGGGTTGAGGAAGGCTGCCTCTTAGTTCTGGGATGTGTGAGGAGGGAATCCTGACTGGAGTTGAGTTTTTTCTTCCTTGGTTTAGTCCTCCTTTCTTCCAATTATGTCACCTCCTATCGAGCTTCCATTTCAATGTTTGTTTTCTTTGGAATACTTTGTGTGTCTCAGGGTCTTGCCCTATTATCCATACTGGTCTCCAGCCCTCAATTCTCCTGCCTTAGCCTCCTGACTCCTGGGATTATAGGCATGTGCTACTTTGCCTGATTCTGCATGCAGTACTGCTTTTTTGTTGTTGGTTTTGTTTTTTAAGATAGTCTTACTATGTAGACAAGGCTGACCTTGAGCTCAGAGGCCCACCTGCCTTTGCCTCCTCTGTTGGGGTTAAAGGCATAGGAAAGAGTTCTGTAGCTACAAACATTTGGGAACTGTTAGGTTAAAAGTAAACAGGTTTCTCCCCCTCTTTCTCTCCTAGTCCATGCTTTGTTTCTTTGTATATTAAGCTCTACATAACCAGATGCCTTCTCTTGAACCCCATAAAAGGAAGCCCCAAAACAATAATGGGGCCCCTGAGTACTCTCACTCATGTGGCCTGCATATTTCTTTTTGATCTGTACTGTCACTTTGCAGTGAGTAAAGTTTTCTTGCTACTTTGCTTCTCCCCCAAAAGGCTCTGAACAGTATTTTTTGTTTCAAAAATTTTTTAAATTATGTGTTTGTGCATATCTCATCTCTGTAGTCAGATAACAACTTGTGGGAGTCCATTCTCTCCTTGTAACACATGAGTGCTAGGGACTGACAAGTCAGTCTTTTTTTTTTTTTTTTTTTTCCCTCTGAGACAGGGTTTCTTTGTGTAGTTTTGGTGCCTGTCCTGGATCTCACTCTGTAGACCAGGCTGGCCTTGAACTCACAGAGATCCGCCTGGCTCTGCCTCCCGAGTGCTGGGATTAAAGGTGTGTGTCACTGCTGCCTGGCGAGGGTGTCAGTCTTGGTGGCAGACTCCTACCTCCTTGAACCATCTCACTGGTCTTGTATCTTTTGAGACAGGCTCTCCATATTCCCTATTTAACCTCTTGAGTGCTGGGATTACAGGAAGTGCTTACCACACCTAGCTGTTGAGCAGTCTGATATAAACAGCATGTTTTATGAATGGTGACTGTATAGAATGAACATATGGAATGTCGTGTTGCCTAAGGTTCTGTTGATACATACTCCGCCTGCTGCTCCCCCCCCCCCCCCCCCCAGGGTCCAGCACAAGGCTTCACCAGTGCTGGGCAAATGTCCCACCATTTAGCCACATCCCTAGATCTGTTTAATGTTCTTTTGTATATCCCTTCGTTAGACCAGTGTTTTGGCAAAACTTTGGGAAAAACTCTTTCGATCTTATTTTAGCTGGTCTTAAGTCCGTAATGAAAGATGGTGGGATATTAGGTTTCAAGAGTTCCTACACCATAACAACTTTGTTTCTCCATTGTCCCAGGCTGGCCCTTTATAACTCCCGTTTCCTGAATCTCTGCTCTGAGATGGATGGTCGAGTCCGGCCCCTTGTGTATACTGTACGCTGCTGGGCTCAGCATAATGGACTGTCAGGTGAGGATGAGGACAGACTTGGCCCGAGTTGGTGTCAGGCAAAGACAGGGATTTAGAAAAGTAAAAAAAAGAAGTGGGCACAGGAACCAGGGCTTATACATACTTCTTCCTAATTGGAATTATTGGTTTTTATCCAGGGGGTGGCCCCCTTCTCAATAACTACGCCTTAACGTTGCTAGTGATCTACTTCCTTCAGACCAGAGACCCTCCAGTGCTTCCTACTGTGGCCCAGCTCACCCAGAAATCAGGTACTGCAGAACCACCTCTACTGTCACGCTACTACCTCAGCTTCTTCTCACCCCTTCACACTTCGGAACCCCTGGAATGAGATTTCATCTATCACCCCATTTTCCACCCGTTCCTCCCCAGTCTTCCTCCTTCCTGCCTGACCCTGTCTTCTTCCTGTCACAGGTGAAGGGGAGCAGGTAGAAGTTGATGGCTGGGACTGTAGTTTTCCAAAGGATGCCTCACGACTGGAGCCCAGTACCAACGCAGAGCCTCTCAGTGAGTCTGGGGTATCTAGAGAGAACTGATAGTGATACTAAGCTCTAGAGTAGGAAATATTTATCATACTCAAGTGCAAGGCACGGTCTTCACAGTAGCCCATGGCTGCTGTTTTAAGGATGAAAAAACCATATCTTGGGCAAGTAAGAGGTTATTCCCTAGTTACACTGCGCTCCAGGGTAAGCAGCAGCATCTGGGCAGGACGTGGCTAAGGAGCTGGGTTTCTCAGGACACTTCTGAAGCCCTAAGAAGGGAAGAAAGTCCTACTGAAGTAGCTGCTCCCAGTTATGGCTTCTAAGTGACCCCCTTTTCCTAATCTGCCTCCTCCAGGTTCCCTGCTGGCCCAGTTCTTCTCCTGTGTTTCTGGCTGGGATCTTTCTGGTTCCCTGCTGTCCCTGCGGGAAGGTCAGGCATTGCTGGTGGCAGGGGGCCTGCCTTCTGAACTTTGGGAGGGGCTGCGCCTTGGCCCCATGAATCTCCAGGACCCCTTTGACCTGAGTCACAATGTTGCAGCTAATGTAACCAGTCGGGTGGCTAGACGGCTGCAGAACTGTTGTGGAGCAGCAGCCAGTTACTGCCGGAGTCTCCAGTACCAGCAGCGTTCCTCCCGGGGCCGGGACTGGGGACTGCTCCCACTTTTGCAGCCCAGCTCCCCTAGCTCCCTGCTGTCTGCCAAGCTCATCCCCTTGCCCCCTGCCCCCTTTCCTCAGATCATTATGGCTCTGGTGCGTGTGTTAAAGGAAGCACTTGGATGCCATATAGAACAGGGAACCAAGAGACCACGGTCAGAAAGTGCCAGAACCAAAGACTCTCCCCAGGGAGGGACAAACAAAAGACAGAGACTAGATGGGCAAGAAGAGAGCTGTGAGGAGGGGAAAGAGGAGCCACAGGGATGTGCAGGGGACCATAGTGAAAATGGGGTGGAAGAAATGGTAATAGAGCTTCGGGAGACACCTCAGGACAGGGCCTTGAGCTCTGGACCACCAGGGGAGCTGCCCCTGATGACTGCCAAGTGTCTAGATAAGCTGGCTGAGCAGAAGCCCACGGAACCTGAAGTGGCTGGAGAAGGGTCTCAGGGTGAGACAGGGAAGGAGACATTACACCTGTCGTCAGTGAGCTGGCGCTGTGCCTTGTGGCACCAAGTGTGGCAGGGGAGGCGGCGTGCCCGGAGACGATTACAGCAACAAACCAAAGAAGAAGGCAGAGGAGGTCCCGCCCCTGGAGCAGAGTGGCTGGCAATGGAGGCCCGTGTAACCCAGGAGCTGAAAGGACTGAACAGTGAGCAACAGAGGCCACAGGGGGAGCCTCTCCTCACTTTCATGACATCTGTCTCCCAAGCTGACCAGACACTCACTGTGGTGCCAGTTCAAGATTCCCAAGGCCTATTCCCTGGTCTTCATCATTTTCTACAGGTGTTTCTCCCTCAAGCACTTAAAAATCTCCTTAAGTGATGAGCCAGGCCTCAAAGACAATAAAGCTGCTAGTTTATTTAATACAGACACTGGACAACTTTGATTTCTACCTGGTGACACCTTTTCTCTCTGCCTTAATGTAGCCTCTGCCCTGCTTGGCCTGACTACCCTAAAAAGGTTGTTATGTCCACTTCAGCGGTCTCCTTCCCACCTTATACCACATTCATAGAGAGTGTCACCACCACAAGGCAGACACTGATTTCTTCTGCTGCCGCAGTTCATGGGAACCACCACAAATCTGGGTTTAGGGTTTGTCTCTTCTATCCCTAAACATTAGAGTGGGTTCAAATTGCCCTTAAGTTGGATACGAGATTTTCAAACTTGGATATGTGTAAACTATTGTATCTGATCTGGCCTGCCTTACCCGATCCTCTGAGGCGCAGCCCGGCCTGAGAGGTGCAGCTGACATGGCAAATTGGTCCGGTCCCCTTTGTTGTAGAAGTTAACAGGAAGATCGTTTAATCAGAGCAGACCTACTTTCAGATGTTTTCGGCCATGGGCTCCGGCTGGACAGACATATCCCTTAATAGAAAAACCCGAAAAGGAACAAAAGGAATTTCGTAAACTGCCACCCCTTTCTTGCCGTTGTAGTTCGTAATAGGATACAGCTACGAGCGGTCGAGGGGCGGTGCTTCCGCCGGGTTCTCACACTCTTCCCGCCCTCGGTGAGCTCTGTCTCCTATTAGGCTTCCGATTGGTCGGCCACACGGCCGGGGCGGGCCTGCCCAGAGCCATACTACGCAGGCGCCAGCTCTTTGCGCTCCGGGCCGTGGGCCCCACCCCTTTTTCCAACTCAGCGCGGCTGGAGACGGAACTGTCGTGCGTATGCCTTTTATGCCGTCCTCGCTTTCCGGCCGCTGTTTCCGCACGCTGTCCCCTTACTCCCTCCCTTGTCTCCCTGGCGGCTTACTTTGCGGCAGCACCGACAGCCCCACCCCCTTTCTCTGCGGAATCACCATGGCGGCTGGGGTAAGTTTGCCGGCTCCGGTGATCCAGGTCACCCCATCCACCGCCATCCTTTAACTGAATCGGGTCAGTCGGCGCCGGGAGAGTTCCAGACCCAAACGGAGAGCCGATCTGGGGTTCACAGGCCGTGCCGCCGGAGAGCAGGGTCCCTAGGGCCTGGAGGGGAACTGAGGCTGGGGCTCGGAGGCCAGAGGTGGAATGTTCTGGGGTTGAGGAGGAAACAGATGATGGGTCTCCACTGTCTAGGTCTTTAAAAAGTGGTTCGGCTGCACTGCCATTGTAAGGTGTGGCGCCTGGGCAGGTTGGTGGAACTTTTGCGACCGTTTTGTGGGTCAGCAACGGGGACAGTGAAAACGGAGAGGGTCTTTGTGGGCAGAGGCGACTGGCACAGTTAGAGTTGTCTTTCGGGGAGGTTTGGGAGCCAGAGGAATCAAGGAACAGTGAGGTCAGACCGTTTGTACCTCTCTGGTCAGGTTGTAGTAGGGAGACATCTGGGAAACAGACACTGCAGGACGGGACCAGAGAGATGTTAGAGTCGTCGCTTTTAGGAAGAGGAGTTGATGAGCAGCAGAGCATGCCATTAGAAATCAACGTGGCTCTTCTAGGGGAACTTTGAAATCTATTGGTGGACGTGTGTGTACTTTTGAAGCGTTACCAGCATGGCTGTAGTCATACACTGGGTCACCACGAATGAATGAAATAAGGACTCTGGGAGGCATGGGTGTGTGTGTATATGGGCAGATGGGAGTCTGGGGGCCCGGGAAGTTTGGAAGGGAAGAATGCTGCTAGAGATGTCCTTAAGGGAGGTCACATCTGTCGGCAAGCTTTATTTAGCAGCTGGTATGTAGTTCTGTTCTTGGTATTTCAGAGGACTCCGATTACATAGGGCATACTCAGTTAATTTGGTTCACCAGAAGGAGTAAAAATGAGTCGAACACATTGGACTTGTGTGGAAGTGTGGGGAGTGTCTTTAGGAGTCTTTTACTCATGTCCATTCTCCGCCCTTCTTCTCATAGACCCTGTACACATATCCTGAAAACTGGAGAGCCTTCAAGGCTCTCATTGCTGCTCAGTACAGTGGGGCTCAGGTCCGCGTGCTCTCCGCACCACCCCACTTCCACTTTGGCCAAACCAACCGCACCCCTGAATTTCTCAGAAAATTCCCAGCTGGCAAGGTGAGTAGGGAAGCAGAGACCCCAAGGAGCCCTAGAATCCTGTTATTCTGGAGATGGCCTCCATGCTATGTTCTTTAACATTGAAGTGACATTTAAAAAAAATTCTTGGGGCCAGGGATGAAAGGCCCCAAGTTTGACTGTCCAGGCACCTAAAAGGAAAAAAATCATTTTGAAGGTTTCTGGTAATCCCAGCATTCTGGAGATGAGGCAGGAGGATTGTGTTGAGGTCAGCTTATATACTCTAGTAAGATCCTGTCTATAAAGGAAAACAGTTGGAGGTATGTATAGTTCTGTTCAGTGACTGTCAGTTACAGACCTGCTTTATTTGTGGGATGAAATGTATTTTGGCAAAGTGTTATCTGTACACATATATTAAGTTTCTTGTGAGTTGGATACTTATCCCAAAGGGCTTGAGTAGAGCTAAATATCAAGCTGAGTATGGAAGGGGGCAAATGCTGAATGTGGGTTGTACCTAATTAATGCTTTGGCTAGTGGAGTTGTAGATGTAGACTGTCTGATGACATTCATACCTGAATATATTATTTATTTTGAGATAGGGTCTCACTAAGCCTGCCTGGTTTCAGACTCAGAGAATGCTGGGATTAAGGGCATGGGGCCTTAATTTCACATTTTAGCCATGTTTGAATTCTTAGTCCAGATACTGAATGCAGATTATAAGGGTTACTGAATATTTTTCATTTCTGAGTTTCAGATCATGTCAAGAGTTTGCATAGCAAGGGTTGTCTTAACATTCTTGTTTGGAACAGTTCAACCCTGAGAATTGGCTAGTGAGAAATCCTCATGTATTTTACGTATGTCTTTTCATTGCTTTGTCCCAGGTTCCAGCATTTGAGGGTGATGACGGATTCTGTGTGTTTGAGAGCAATGCCATCGCCTATTACGGTAATTTGTGGGGATACAGGATCGAGAGGTTCTGGGGATGAGGCTGTAGAGGTGGCTGGGAGTGATTGCTGTGGACAAGGTGGAATCATAGAGACCTAGGTTGGTTTTGGCATGATCTGTAAGTTCTCAGCTTTATGTTCTGCTTTTGCAGTAAGCAACGAGGACCTGCGGGGAAGTACTCCAGAGGCAGCAGCTCAGGTGGTGCAGTGGGTGAGCTTTGCTGACAGTGACATTGTTCCTCCAGCCAGTACCTGGGTGTTCCCCACCTTGGGCATCATGCACCACAACAAACAGGTGTGCTTTGGAACTTGGGGACAGAGATAGGGTCGGCTCCTGCATCTTGGGAATAGGAAATAAATAGATGGGGGAAAAGATGCCAGGGATGTGTGGCAGTGCAAAGTAGTGACTACCATCAGTACAGTGGGAAATAAAGTCATGTTGAGCATGAAGAAATTTAACATGAGTGCTTTGCTTCTAATACATTTTAAGTGGCCCTAGATGCTAATGATAGAGAGTGGGAGTTGAGCCAGTGCTGATTAAATGGCTCTTTCGTTCTGTTAGTTGGTGGTGGGGCCACAAGGAAAGGGACTTGGTACCCATTAAACTTGAGTATTCAAAACAACAGGCCACTGAAAATGCAAAAGAGGAGGTGAGGCGTATCCTGGGGCTGCTGGACACTCACTTGAAGACAAGGACTTTTTTGGTGGGTGAGCGAGTGACACTGGCTGATATCACAGTTGTCTGCACCCTTCTGTGGCTCTACAAACAGGTAAGGTTTATAAGAGAAGCCATGTGACAGGTGCTGGGGTACCCTGGGTTCTGCTTAGGACTCAGGCCAGTATTAATGGCTGTAGGAATCCCAGGATTGAGTACTATGGCTGTTTCATTCTAGGTGATGTTGCTTAGTTTCTTGGGAATCTGGGTTTAATTTAAAGATGGGTAAGTCTGCGTGTGGTGACTTAACACTTGTAATCTCACTGCTTGAGGTACTGAGGCAGCAAGATCACTCTGGTATGAGGCCAACCTGGGCTATATAGTGACATCAAAAATAAACAGCAAAAATTAAAGATGACTAAGAGGCAAGGATGGTTACTGCAGCATCAAGGACTTTTGGAGGTGGATCCAAGTCCCTGTCTTGGCTTCATTATTTACTGGTACAGATAGAGGGGTGTAAGAATTCTCACGGTTCTTTATTTTATTTTACTTTATCTGTGATAAATTCAAGGTGATAGTAATCACTATTTGGGTTGCTATGTTTCTTAAAACATTTAGGAAATTTTTTTCATTTGTGTATTTGCATGTATGTATGTATGTATTTGTGCAGATCCCAAGGAGTTGTGAGCTACCATGTGGGTGCTGGGAATCAAACCAGGGTAATCTAGAACAACCACCATTTTTTAATTTAATTAATTTATTTACTTTGATTTATTATTTATGTGCATTGGTGCTTTATCTGCATGTATGTCTGTGAGGGTGCCAGATCCTCTGGAACTGGAGTTACAGTTGTGAGACGCCATGTGGGTGCTGGCAATCGAACCTGGGTCCCCTGGAAGAGCAGCCCCATACTACTATCTTAAGAAATTCTTAAGTTTTATTTTTTATTTTTATGTCTATGGGTGCCTGCAAGTATATCTGTGCACCACATGCATTCCTAGTGCTCACAGAAGCCAGAAGAGGGATCACATCTCCTAGAAGTTGGAGTTACAGATGTAAGGCACCATGTTGGTGCTGGGAGTCCTCTGGAGCAAGTCTTCTTAACTGTTGACCCCTCTCCAGCCCATGCCATTTTCAAGTTTGCCAAAATAGAAGGGGGTGAGAGCTGAATCTTGTCATGGAGCCAGATCACAGAAGTCAAGAACTGCCAGTTCTCAAGTACTTGGGTTCAAGTAATACTTGAGCACTTACTAGCTGTGTGCTGTGGGCTTGGAAGCATTACAACGAGCCCTGTGAGGCAGATGGTCTGGTGCACAGTAGGAGCTTTTG